TTATTATTATATTATTACTATTATTATATTATTATATCCCAAGTGAATAAATCAAATAATAGTAATAATATTATATTATATTAATACTATTATGATATTATTATATCCCAAGTGAATAAATCAAATCCCTTTAACTTGTACGTCAGAATTCTTCAATCTGCTTAGAACACTGTTTCATACGTATGGGAAACGAGAGAGAGAATGGAAGAGAGAGCCTGGAAATATGAAATGAAATCACCTTTACAAGTGTGGGGCCGTGTTTGGGGAGCATGTGGGTGTGGAAGCAGAGGGCTTCTCTTTAGGTTGGAAACAATTGTTATTCACATTACAACTACCGATTGTGACTAAAACCATTGTGAACTATACAAAACATCCACATTTCTTTAAGTGTGGAACAAAGATGACTTGGAGATACACGAGATTATTTTAGGTGGAGTGCCCACCCGGCATGAAATAACACTGAATCACACAGTGAGAAAGTAATTCCTTTTTTGGTTGTCTTTCCATCTTTTCAATATGATCAGGGACGCCATGCCAGACTGCTACCTCTTTACTACTTATTAACACTTGGTTGGCTTCCTTTTTAACAAAGAGAAGGCAGCTGTAGGTTCAGTATATTCAGACAATAGTCTCTAGCTAGAATTCAATTATATTTTTGTTGTTGCTGTTTTTAGTTTTCTGTTATTTATACCAAGTCATGCTAATTTTTCACTTGTAACCATTCTAAATTTATTTCAGTTAGAGAAGTGAGTCAACTTAAAAATACTGAGTAAATAACAGCACAGATGGAATACAGGGCACAAAAGCCAAAGATGGTGAATGACTGTCTTCAGTTTAGTAAACACTGAGAGAGTCCATCAATTAGAGCCACAGATACAGAATGCAAATGACTAAAAATGGAACCTGAAAACAACAACTTCTTCAGAAACATATCTGAAGGCATGCATGTGGACAAACCACTTACTTCATTGAAACTCAAGACCAAAGACAGCAGTGGGGTTGGAGAAGGCAGAGGTGGAAATTATCATCATGATTAAACTGAAAGCAGGTAGGTTAAACGAACACAGTAAGGCATGTCAGCACTCTCTTGAAGAAGAATCCACACAAACAAGAATGGTGGTCAAATCCTATCTACCTCCTCCTTCAGAGAAGGAAGGATCTTCTCATGCACAGAAGCAACAAAGGGCAACTTTCTGAGTAAGAGAGGGTGATGGGTCAATCTTGTTATCCTTGGTTTTGAGATAATATGATCTATAATTATATGCCAACATTTAAATTTTATTCTCTTGCTTCATTTAAGTTTTCTTAAATCAGTAATTTTCAATAGAAGAGAGTGATTTTTTTTCAAACTACCTACATGGCAAAGATTCTAGAATGTTCCACCAGTGATAGGGGAAGCAGGCATCCCAGCTCTCCCTCACCTTCCACTCAGGTAAAGCCAATGAAAGTGCATCATGCCCTTCTGGAGGGGAGGATTGAGGAAAAGACACAGCATCACTTCTTCAGTGAGGGCCAGAGTCTGTAACTGTCTCCCCTCCATCCATAAGACCACAGGGCTGGGACATCGGTAGTAGGACAAGAGAGCTGTTTACCTTTCAGAACAATAGTCTATGAGCAGAAGATAAGCTTTAGAAAAAGTTGTTCCCGGCACCATCATAGTTTGTAAAATGTCTAAGAAGTGGTTATACAGCAATCTTGATGAAGGTTGCAGAAGTAATGCAAATAACTCTACAAGAACAAAATACCTTACATTTAAACCCTGTGTGAGCTCTTCAAAAGCTTTAAAAAGAGGTACACTCTGAATAATATAAAACTTGTGAGGGAACATGCCTCAGTAGTAGATCCTGTTTAATTTAAGTAGACCAAAAAGGGGTTGCCACCCCCAGGACAGCTTTTTAATGACAAAGATTTAGTTTGTTTCAGCAGGGAATACTTTCCATAACTTAGATACAGTCTTTCTTTTCTTCCTCCTCTCTCTTTCTTCCTTCCCTTCTTCTTTCCTTTCACTGCTAACCTCCTGCTTTCTGAGTTCTTGCATCTGAGGAATAGCCCCCAAGGTTATCTGTTGGTTTATTAGACATGACTTCTTTTCAGACTTTTTCCTCCAGAGCTTATGACCATGAGGGGAAAACTGGTACAGTGAGAAACACTTTCCATCTGCAAGTGGTGGCTTATGGGTGTAGCTGATGATATGATATTTCTTTTTTTTTTTTTTTGAGACCGAGTTTTGCCCTTGTTGCCCAGGCTGGAGTGCAATGGCGCGATCTCGGCTCACTGCAACCTCCGCCTCCTGGGTTCAGGCAATTCTCCTGCCTCAGCCTCCTGAGTAGCTGGGATTACAGGCACGCGCCACCACGCTGAGCTAATTTTTAGTATTTTTAGTAGAGACGGGGTTTCACCGTGTTGACCAGGATGGTCTCGATCTCTTGACCTCGTGATCCACCCGCCTCAGCCTCCCAAAGTGCTGGGATTACAGGCTTGAGCCACCGCGCCCAGCCTGATATGATATTTCAAATCCTGACTTTACTACTTACGAGCTATGCAACATTGAGCAGATTACTTCATTTTTATTTCTTTGCCTCAATGTCTTCATCTATAGATGAGGACAATAACATCACCTACTTAACTGGATTTGGTGAGGATTCATTGGGTGAGTTCTTGCAACATACTGAGAACAGGACCCCCCCATAAGTAAACACTATAATTGTTAGCTTTACATGTTTTGCTTCTCTTATATGCTTTTGGGGTGGGGGCAAGAGTTCTACCATCCCCAAAAGAGTTGAAAATTTTTCTACTATTGCAGATGGTTGTAGCTATTGCTCAAAAGCTACCATATTGTTGTACCCATACTTTTCCTCAAGTTTCTCTTTTCCATCTCAGAATAACTTTATTCTTCAGAACATACTACCTCACTCCCCATTATTCTCAAGGTCAGATCCTCCTTGCCGCTCGCCGTCTTTACCCAATGACTTCTTGTGATTCCTTGCCTTCCCTCAGACTATTCTCATCAGTATCATGTCAGCACCTAAAAAGTACCTAGGTAAACCTTTTCTTTTGCCCAGAAGGAAATTCAGCTCCTTCCAGTCAGTCATCTTACACAGTTTCACAGTTAGTAAAGAAGGACTGAGGAGATTGCTGGTTTTCTGACTCTGGTTCCATTGCTCATTCTCCTTTACCCTTTCTTTCTCAACTTTTGGTGGCGTTTTAAACAGGATGTCTCTGAGATTTTTTGCACTGTCAGAGATACATCTCTCTTCAGTGACTTGAATTTCTGCCCCTGTTAAAGAAGTCTCTGAAGAAGGGATGTCTTTGGGTTTCTTTCTCCCCAACACACAGTGGACATCCAGAGACCTGGCATATTCATGTGTCGATTCATTCACTTAAGCTTTTTTTTTTTTTTTTTTTTTTTTTTTTAATGTCTAAGTAGTTCCAGGGTTTCAGGAATTCAGGGTTGAAGGACAGTGTCCCCGTGTTAGAGAAGCTTGTGTCCTGGTTGTGTGGGCATGCAAATAAATAACAAGTCACAAGAAAGCAAACAATGCCTAAGGGATAAGCAGAGAACTCTTTTGGGAAGGAGGGTATACCTCACCCAGCCTGAGGGTCATAGGCCAGGAGAAGCTTCCGCGGGGTTGTTCCAGAATCTGGATCTGGGACTAGGCATTAGCCAGGTGAAGACAAGGGGCAAATGTGCTTTAGGCAGGGGGGGCCGGAATGTGGGGAGGATGGCAAGGGCAGTGGTAACAGCAGGGACCTTTGGGGAAGTGCCAGAGTTCTTTTCAGTTGGAGGGTGAAGTTAGAGAAATTAGGAGTAATGAGGTTGAAAAGACTTGACTAGGTTTTGAAAGATCTGGTAGGCTGCACAAAAAAATTTTATTCTAGCCATGACAAGCAACCCATGTGGAGATGTAATCAAGAGGGTATTACAACTTTTACATGTTTTATTCTGTGGTAGCAGCAAGGAGAATGACTACCACACTATTTGGAGGTTACTGAACTAATTAATTCAGGTGTGCTAAGAAAGGAGGGTATCTCAGAGCAAAGAAATACATCTCTGAGCTGAAATATTCATCTACTGTTAAATAGTCTTCATGAGCTAAATTCTTGAGAAAATCTAGAAGTGCAACTTTCCGATTTCTTTTCATCTGTCAACATTTTCTTTAACAACCTGCACTTTCTTACCTTAACTGGATTTAACTAGCCCAGGTTGTTTTACTATTCTTTCTTTCTGTTCTATTTTTACCGATCAAGAGAGACTTTATTCCCTTGGTTTTGTCTACAATTTCAATGGTCACTGATTTAAATTGCTGTTAAGAAACAGATTGTGTGTGTACAATCTTATTTAACATCAGGCTTCTAATTTGGTAACATTTAACATGCAGATAAATGTACTATGCTTTTATGAAATTTCATTTCTTTATACCTCTACCATGCCTATCACAAAGCAGGGTTCTGGATGCACTGTTTCACTGGCAGTTCACATTTGAGTAAGTAACTTACAGATACTGTACAGACAGTTCATTTTAAAAAGGGGCCCGGATTAAACTTTTGTCAACAATTTGATGAATCAGCAGAACTGCCAAGATAACCTCTCAACTAGAAAAACAAAAAGAAGAAATACATATTTTTGCAATTTTTTATTACCCAAGATAAGCTCAGAAGGGTCCATTCCTTAGTTGCCATTATCCTTATTAATTCAAATAAAACAGATTTAACCAGGGTTAGGTAACTTGCAGAATAGCAGCTTTTTGGAAAGAACAACTCTTGCTGTCATTGTACACTAAAGTTTTGTAACCTTTTCCTGTATTAGGAGTAACGAGGACGTCAACAATGATACCTTCCCAAGTGTGGGTGATTGCGTTTACAGCGCGCGCCCGCGCGCACACACACACACACACACACACACCTTCGGGCTGTTCTTGAGCTGCTTTTGTGCACTTCGGTCCACCTCTGCAGGTGCCCTTTGTCTCTGGGTCCTACCCTGACCTCTCCCGGGTACTCACAGAGTCTGCGTACTGGGCGGTAAGCTGGGGATGCGTTGAATATCCTTGCAGGTGACTCTGAAGTCCTCCTCCTGATGGCACTGGCAGGGTAGAGACGAACACCCCTTTCTGCCCAGGCCCCTGGGCAGGGCGAGCAGCAGCACCAGCTGCAGCAGGTCCGCCGGCCTCATTTTCCACGGGACCCGGGGCTATTTCTCCATCCTCCGCAATCGCCTCATTCTCTGTCCTCTGTACCTCGGGTTACCCCAGGCCAAAGGAGACCCGGGAGCGGGAGGGGTGGGAAGAGGGAGGGCTCCAAGGGGTGTGACCTCACCACTGTAGAGGAGGCTGGAGAAGGGGAAGAAGAGGCACTTAAGCGCTCCGCTTCCCTAGGCAACCTCGACCCAAACAAGCCTGCTTGCTGCACTCTCCTTGGCTGGACCCACGCAGTCCGCTCCGTCTGTTCCCTGACACCCAACACCAGTCCTGGCTATCCGCTCTGTTTTCCAGCCCGATCCCCCGCGCTCCTCCCATTAGTTCTCTCCAAAGTCTAGTTTAGATGGTCCCTCCTTTCCTCGTCTTTAATTCCAAGGAGCCACCATCCCCCGCGTGTAGCCTTCTAAACACCCTGTCTGCGTGGTACCCACTCGCACAACTCCGTATCCAAAGTCCCCGGGCGGACCGATGTCCTGCAGAACTTCAGCTCCTCCTGGCCAGAGACACTTTTGCTGAGAGTCGGAGGCGGGCGCGCAGCCCTGGCCAGCCCGCCGTGCGGCTGAAGCCGTCGCCCGCAGCCCTGGCGGATCCTCGCTGCTACCCAGCTCCAGCCGCCACGCGCGTGCTGGAAATCGACGGGCAGCCGCAGCCTCACCCTGCAGCCCGCGGCTCCACGAGGCAATTCAGGAACTGGACTTTGGGTCCATCTGCTGGGAAGAATCAGGAATGGCAGAAACAGTTCCAGGTTCCCTGAGTGGGTTCAGTGTGGAAATTCTGTTCGGCCCAGGAATTTTATTGAGCCGTATTCCCTCTAGAACATGGGAAGAAAAACAATACTTCAGTGGCACATTCACCATTTTTTGCACAGTAGCCAAAAAAGATCATTACAAACATAAATCAGATTGTGCCTATTTCCTTCTTAAAAATCTTCAATTGCTTACTGATTCCTCTTGGGATAAAAGGAATGCCAATTCTTTCTATAGAGAATAATTCCTTTTACATGAACTTGGCTAAGGCAGGAAGGAAAAGGCTGTGGTGATGGAAATCAGAAAAAAGGTTAAGAAAGATTGACTGGAAAAAGACAGGAGGGAATACACTGGGTGTCTATCTCTTAATTAGGCTGGAGGTTAAGTGGTTGTATACATTTATCAAACTTTATTAAACTGTACACTTAAAATATGGGGATTGCAGATTTTACAGAAGCTTTATTCATAACCACTAAACAAACTAAATGTCTCTCAGCTAGGCAATGGATAAACAAACTCTGATACCTCCACATTGGAATACTATTCTGCAATAAAAATGAATGAACTGCTGATACAACATACACAAATCTTGTTGTTGTTGTTGTTGTTGTTTTTAATCACCATGACATTGTTACAGGACAAATCTTGAACACATAATGTTAAGTGAAAGAAGCCAAACTCAAAATATTATGCATTTATATGTAATTATTCATATTAATGATTTATTTATGTAACATTCTCAAAAAGGCAAAACTATAGGAACAGGAAAGAGATCAGTGGTTGCAAAGACCTGGGGTTCAGAGGAAAGGCTGACTACAAGTGAACACCAGAGAATATTATGGGTAATAAAATGTTTTAAATCTTGCTTGTTGTGATGGTTCCATGGTTTGTTAATGCGGTGAATCATAGTGATCGAGTTTTGAATGTTAAATCCACCTGGCATTACAGGGATAAACCTCACTTGATCATGATGTATTTATCATTTTTAAAATATACTCTTTAATTAGATTTGCTAAAATTCTGTTTAAAAGTTTTACATAGATGTTCACAAGGGATAGTAATCTGTTATTTTCTTTTCTGTAACTTCTTTGTCAAATTTTTGTATCAGGGCAATTAAGTCTTCCATCACAGGGTAAATTGGGAAATGGTCCTTCCTCTTTAAATTTCTGTAGGAGTTTCTGTAGAACTGGTATTATTTCTTTGTTACTTATTTGGTAAGAGTCACCAATGAAGCTGCTGAAACCTTGCATTTTCCTTATTGGAAGGTTAACTATAAATCCAATTTCTAAACGTAGATATAGTGCTATTCAAGTAGCATAATTCTTCTTGGGCAGTTTGTGTCTATAATGAATTGTCTTCTTATATTTATATAATCTATCCTAATGTCAACTCTGTTATACCTGATTTTGGTAATTTGTGTCTTCTTTTTCTCCTAAATACTTTATCCAGAGATTTATTAATTTTATTAATGTTCTCAAAGAAGGAAATTCTTGTTTCTTAGATTCTCTATTATATTTTCATGTTCTATTTCAATGATATATGCTCTGATCTTTAGTATTTTATTATTCTGCCTACCTGGGGTTTAATTTGCTCTTCTTTATTTCTTAAGGAGAGGTTTCTTAAGACTGAGGTCACTGGTGTGAGACTGTTTTTCTTCCATAATATTGTATGTGTATAGTGCTGTTTACTTGCCGTGTGCTACTTTAGAGACATCTCACAGGTTTTGATATCTTGAAATTTCATTTTCACTCAGTTTAAGATATTTTTAATTTTTCTTTTAGATTTCTTCCTTGATTTGTGGATTCTTCAGAAGTATGTTATTTAGTTTCCAAATATTTGAGGGATTCTCCGATATTATTCTGTAATTTCTAAATTAATTACATTATATGCAGGGAAAATAGTTTGTATAACTTGAACACTTTTAAATTTAATGAGATATTTTATGATTCAGAATATGGTCAATCTTGGTAAAATGTTCAGTGTGTACTTGAAAAAAATGTGTGATCAGCTTTTGTGGCATTGTGTGTTCTACAAATGACTTTAGGTCAAGTTGTTGAAAGTGTTGTTTAAGTCTTACGTATTTTTGCTAAGTTTAAAGTCTACTTGTTACATCAGTTGTTGAGCTATGGGTACTGAACTTTTCTACTACAATTGGAGATTTGTTGTTTTTCCCCCTCATTGCATTTCTATCAGTTTTTTCTTCATGTAATTTGAAGTTAGTGTATTTTGAAGTTCTATTATTTGGTAAATAGGTGGTTAGGACTTTTGTTTTCTTGTTCCCTTCATTGTTATTCAATGGACTTCTTTATACCTTGTGATAGCCTTTGCTCTTTAGTCTACTTTTTTGTTACTGATAGAGCCAATGCAACTTTCTTTTGATCAGCGTTATCATTGTATGCTTTTTTTCATACAATGATAACCTCTTTGTGTTTTTGTATTTAACGTGCAGTTCTTATAAATAGCATAGAGTTGGGTCTTGCTTTCAGTCTCACAATCTCTGCCTTTTGTTTGGGTTTTAAAGATCATTTACATTTGATGTCATCATTCACATTAGGTTTAAGCAGATAATCTTGCTATTAGTTTTCTATTTCCCCCACTGTTCTTTGATCCAATTTTCCTTTTATTTTAAACATATGTTTATATTATTTAAGGAATTTTTTGATGCAGTTTAATCTTCTTTATTGAATCTTAGCTATAACTCTTGTTATTATACTCATTGCTTTGAGGTTTATAGCATGTAACTTCAAGTTATCATAGTCTATATTCAGTTGATAGTATACCAATTTACACATGGTTTAGAAGACCCCTTCAACACCATGTTTGTGTATATTCAATTTCTCCTTTCCTGTCTAACCTTTATGCTTCTGTTGCCATACATTTTACTCATACATAGGTTATAAATCCTGCAATACAGCATTATTATGTTTTAAAGAGATTCAAATAATAAGATACTTACCACTTCTGGTCTTTCTCATTCCTTAGTATTGATCCATATTTTCCACTGCTGTCACTTTCCTTTTGCTTGGATGACTTTCATTAATTTTTTTGTCATACATATCTGCTGGTTATAAATTATTTCAGCTTTTGTGTGTCTAAACAAGTACTAACTCTGTCTTCTTTTTTTTAATTGCATTTTAGGTTTTGGGGTACATGTGAAGAACATGCAAGATTTTTGCATAGGTACACACATGGCAGTGTGGTCTATCTTCTTTTTTAAAAAGGATATCATTCCTAGGGATAGAATCATAGATTGGCATTATTTTTCACTTTCAGTGCTTTAGAAATATTGCTTCATTTTCTTGTTGCTTGCATTGTTTATAAGAACAATCTGATGTCAAAGTTTTTTTACTCCTTTGTAATATGCTTTTTTTTTTTTTTTTTTTTTAAAATATGGAATGCTTCACGAATTTGCGTGTCATCCTTGCGCAGGGGCCATGCTAATCTTCTCTGTATCGTTCCAATTTTAGTATATGTGCTGCCGAAGCGAGCACTGTAATATGCTTTTGTTTTCCCCTTACTCAGGCTACTTTTCAGACTTTGTCATTGGTTGAGAGCAATTTGACTGTAATGTGCCTTGATATACTTTTCTTCATGTTTCCTGTGCTTGGGGTATTTTGAGATCCTTGGATTTGTGTGTTTATGGTTTTCATCAAACTTGGGAAAATTTTCAGCCATTGTTTCTTCATTTCTGTATATATGTTTTTTTGTTCCCTTAACTCTTTCCTCTCTTTTGAGTATTCCAATTACTGCACTTCTTAGGCTAATTAAAGTTATCTCACAAAGAGAATATTGATGCTTTTCTCAGTAAGAAATTATTTTTCTTTTTGTTTTTGATTATGGATAGTTTCTTTTGCTATGTTTCTAAATTCAGTATTCATTTTTGTTGTCCTCTCATAATATTTAATCTTACACTAATCCCATCTAATGTATTTTTTATCTTATAAATTAGATTTCCATCTCCAAAAGTTCAATTTGGGGCTTTTAGATAATATTTTCCTTGTCTCTTTATATAATACTTTTTGAACATTTAAAACATAATGATTGCTTTGATATCTATATTAGTTTCCTAGGGCTGCTGTAACAAAGTACCACAAACTTAGTGGCTTAAAATAAGATAAATGAATTTGTTCACCGTTCTGGAGACTAGAAGTCTAAAATTAAGGTGTGCGTGGGGCAAACTTCCTCTGAGGGCTTTGTGGGCCGATGTCTCCTCGACTGTTCCAAGTTTCTAGTGGTTCCTGGGAATCCTTGACATCCCTTGGATTATATCCCTGCAATTTCTCCTCTGTCATCATCAGGTGTTCTCTTTGTGTGTCTCTGCATCCAAATTTCCCTCTTCTTATAAGGATATCGGTCATTGTATTTGGATCCATGCTAATCCATTATAACCTCAACTCAATTTAAATATCTTTAAAGATGCTATTCCCAAATAAGGTCACGTTCACAGGTCCTGGGTGTTAGAATTTCAAGGTATCAATAAACTCAAAAATCAGTTTCATATTAAGACCTTTTCCCAGGACATTGGCCAGCTTGTGAGCAATGTCTGTTATAGTAACTATTTAAAAATGTTGTGACTTTTCCTTGTATTAACTTTAAAACACTCATAGGAATGATGCAAGTACATTGTTTATGTTAGGGGAATGAAGGATTCTAAGCTAATGAAACTCAAAAATTATAAAAATGTGCCCCAGAGAAGATGGGAAAATAGATGGTTGACCTGTTCCTGCCTTTATCTCTCTCAAACATCAATCTCCTCAACCAGATCTCTGGTAGGAAATGGAAAGTAACCCATCCAAAACTGGTATTACTTCAAGCTGAAGTAATAAACACCATTAAATAAATTTATTGTGAGTTGTTG